TACAGGTGGTGGCTGCACTGGTGGAAGAAGATGCATTGGAGCCAGTGAAAGCCGAGATTCGCATACTTGCCAATCTCGGCTCTCGGGGCCTATATCAGGGAAATCTCCGGAGAGACCTATTGAGGCACACTCAAATGCCTGCTCTTGTGAGCAGCAACGTGTGTGTGCCCATCAAGAAAGCTCTCCGGGCTGCGATCCCGTTTTTGGACCCTGTTGACGTGTTTCGGTCGCTGCAGCGACAGCCAATGGTCTTCCGTGAGTTATGCTGCAGGAACGATGGTGACATAGCGAACTTTTGGCGAGAGGTCGGCTCCTCGCACCCTGCACTCCTGCACCATCCCGTGAAGAAGATCAAGAACTACCAATCCAGAGCGGTACCGCTGATCCTGCACGGCGATGGAGTTCCGATTGACAGCAAGGACAGGTCTTGTGCTTTTATCTCTTGGAGAAGCCTGCTCTCCTCACAGACCTCTTCAAAGCTCGTCCATGTGCTGATAAGTGCTGTTTGGACTGAGCAGATCGTGGTGTCTTCCTGTGGCAACACTGTGGCCAGCATCTGGGGACACGTCGTTCGGGCCTTTGAACGATGTTTCGAAGAATGCAAGACGAACAATGACTTGTTCCCGGTGCTCCTTTTTCTGACTGGTGACTTGGAATGGTACAACACGAGTCACAACTTGCCACGGTGGAATTCCAACTTCCCTTGCGGGCATTGCAACATCAGCAAAGACAATATGTTCGACTACAAAAACGTGGCGGAGGTTCCTGTGGATCCATGGCACTGCCCTCGCCGCAGCTGCTGCCCTCTCCTGCGACACCTTGTGAGCCCCAGTGGTGTGATTCCGGACTGGATGCACAGCAAGCACCTCGGCTTCGACCAGCGGCTGGCTGGCTCAACGTTGTGGGTTCTCTGCTGGAGGATCCTTCCTGGCGGAGTAGAGGAAAACCTGGACAATGTATTGCTGCAGATGAAGGCTGTGAACTTTCCTTTTTTTCAGATAGGCTAGCTTAAGCTCCTCCTGTTTTCAGATATGTATAGGCAGCTTAAGCTCCTGCTGTTTTCAGATATGGTATAGGCAGCTTAAGCTCCTGTTGTTGTGAGACATGGTATATAAAAGTTGTAGTGTGTAGGCAGCTTCAGCTCCCCTGCAGGACTACTGGCGGCAGCACAAGGGCAATGGCATCAACTACATCACTCAGACCATGGTCCTGGCTGACCCACAGGATATTCACTGCAGAAAGGGATACCCTCGCTTGAAGGCCAAGGCAGCAGAAACTAAGGGCGTTATTGCAGCTTTGGCGAGCATCTGCCAACAGCACCTGCAACAGGACAACGAGGAGCACCAACAGATTGCCCTGGCTTTGAGTTTCAGCCGCGATTTGGACCAAATGGCAGATGGCATCGAAGACTGGAAGCCCTCGAAAGAGGTGGCGGATCGGATGATGCTCACGGCCGTTTGTCTCTTCCAGTGCATGACGATTTTGAATAAGTCCTTTCTGGAGCAGGGCCATCTGGCCTTCCAGTTGACATTCAAGACACACTGGTTTCTGCATGGGCTGCAGCTGGCGAGGCATCTTTCCCCCAAGCTGACTTGGACATACTCCGGCGAGGATTATATGTCCAAATGCAAGGGTCTCCTCAAGATGTGTACCAAGAGCCGGACGATGCTGACTTCGTTGGATCGTTTCATGCGGCAGTACACAGATGCCATGTCAATCGAACTGGCAGAGATCCTTGCACAGCCTGGACCGCCGCTCTGAGGAGAAAAAATGGGACCGTTCCTTAATTGCTGAAGGAAGCCTCGGGCTCCTCGTTCCTTAATTGCTGAAGGAAGCCTCGGGCTCCTCAGAGATTTTGAGCGCCTGCAGTTCTGAAGCAATCTAAGCCTCGGCCTCCTTGTAGGATCTTCAGGGCATGTCGTATCTGCTGCAGCCGTTTTTCAGCTCAAGCTCGCCGCTCGCCTCCGTAGTACAGCCATGGCAGACGAGGCCGAGCAAGCCGTTGAGGTCAAGGACCTCGTGGAGGCAGCTCTGCAGAAAGACGAGGGCGACCAAGCCGTTGAGGGCAAGGACCTCGTGGAGGCAGCTCTGCAGAAAGCCCGAGAGGAGGAGCTCGACCCAGAGGCTCGCAAGTGCAAAAGGGAACGGTGGGTGGGCTACCAACACGTGAACTTCCCCTGGCTTTCTACCGCCTTCCTCAACGAGGTGTTGCCCAACAGCTGGTTCGTTTCCAAAAGAGCTTGGGAAAAAGAAGCCTGTGTTGCCCGTCGAACCCTGAGGCTGTTGACTTGCCTCCGCTTCGGCCTCAAGCTACAGCAGCTGGCTGCCGGCAAAAACGGCGGGGCATGAGTGCCATGTAGTGGCTCCATGCTATAATTTAATGCACGTGTCATGACACATGTGTATATGCTAGGGATCGAAGTCGCTGCGAGGGAAAAAAGGAGTGCATGAATCTATAGGAGCTGTAGTCCAGGAAGCCAAAGGCTCCTGAGGGATATTAAGATAGGCCAAGGGCGAGGAAGCTGCCAACTCGATCGCTTTAGAAATGCAATAAGCAAGGAAAGGCACAGAAGGCACAAATGCACCATATACTCAGAAAGGCTTCCATGAACCCCGCAAGCCAATGGGGTCCAGGAAGCCAGGCAACCAAGAAATCCAGGATGTGTCAGTCCTGGATCCGCACGGGACCGCCTCGTGAAGACGTGGCGGTCCCACCTGTGCGAGGAAGCCGCCAGCTCCTAAAAAAAAAGGTAGCTTAGAAGCTCCTATAGGCATCCGGTGACACCATAGGATGTGCCCGCATGCATGGTTGTTGTATATATATTGTATGTTTTTCCCGTGCAGTTTTTTTAGTTTGCAGCTGTAGGACTCCTGCCATGGCACTGCCGACAGTTGGCGAGCGGCTGAAGGTGCTGCCGTCAGTGACTGCAGCTGCCCTTGAAAATGCCGTCGAAAAAGGGTTGCGGCAGATGGGCCACAACACACTCGGCATGCTGTGCAGAGGACTGGAGGAATGCTCATGGAAGACGGCCCTGGGCAAACACATCCAGGAGGTCGTGTTCCTCGCTCCGATCTTGAACCGTATCTTCGAGATCTGCACCAATGGCTTGATACCCCATGCCTTGCTCCAGACTGCTTTGCTCGGCCTGTTCAAGAGGGACATCCTGGTACTACAGGCTCCACAGCAGAAGTTGCCAGGCTGGGGGCGCTTATAATCTCATGATAGGTATAGCCTAAGGATCCTAAGACTCTAGTGCCTAACCCGGCCCCTAAACCCATAAATTCAAAGCCCTGCAGGCTGGGAAGACTCGTCGCTGCAGTACTTCAACCTGAGATTCAGAATGCTGGCCGGCAAGATTCGGGATGTTGCCACCGGCAAGGAAAAGATGCCCAAGAAACTCGACAAGCAGGCACTTCAACAGGTGCAGGCCCTTTGCTTGCAGATCAACCCGAAGTTCAAAATGGAGGACATGGTGCAGCCATCGGAGACAATGCCGCTGAAAGGTGTACTTGCACTCCAGGACGGGCCAGCGAAGGATGCCGAGACGGAGCCTGCAGCAGCAGTCGTACCTGCACCTGTCACTCGTCCGTTGTCCCATACCCCCGCTTCTGGCAGCATGGGCTTCATGCCAAGGGCATCTGGAAGCATGGACTTCATGCAAAGGGCGACACAGCAAGCTTTGCAGAATGCCTGGGCAGCCTCTCCGGCCAAGCCCCTCACCAAGAAGCAGAAGGAGGCGGCTGTCCAGAAACGGCCTGCGAGCAAAGCTCCAGAAGCCTCGCCGAAGAAGCGGCCTGCTGCAAAAGACCCAGAAGCCGGCACAGCTGCCAAGAAGCAGAAGGAGTCTGTTAACCCTGCCCCTGTGCCCGGCCGCGAGGAGAAGGAGCTCTACCAGGAGGCGATCAGCACTATTATCTCTGACTCCGTGTTTAAAAGCACGGACAGTAGGAACCACTACACATCTCGATTTTACGCCAAGGCGAAGAGGCTTGCTCTTGGCCACGGCTTGGGAAAAGAGAAGGCCGTAGAGTGGGCTCGCAAAGCCCACTCGAAAGCCAGCCAGCTCTGGGATGAAAAGTTTCACTGAGAGTGAAGTCCACTCGAAAGGAAGCCATGGGATGAGACTGCGAGTAAAAGGAGTGCTGCATCTGGGGTTTTGGGCAAATTATAAGCCAGAAGCCGCCTTAGGAAGCAGAAGCTCCTGAAGCATCCAGTCCAAGATTTAAGTCAGGAAGCCTTAAGCTCCTGAAACATCCAGTCCAAGATTTAAGTCAGGAAGCATAAGCTCCTGAAAAGAATTCAAGGAAGCAAGAGCTCCTGGAGGAAAATCAAGGGCTAAAATAGCCTATGTAATAGTTTAAAATAGACTATTCAATAGTTTAAAATAGACTATAATAGTCTATTTAAAATAGACTATATCCTAGTCTATTTTTGACTATATATCTTATAATAGACTAATAGTCTATTTTAGGATATATAGTCTGTTAACAGCCTAAGAAGATTCTTTGGGCACTCATTTCTGAGGACATTGTTCGTATCCTTCCCCATTGACACAGCAGTCACGTTCATTGCCTTGCTTATATAATGACGCTGGTACTGTTCATGTATGCGTGTTCTTGTATGAACTGGAATCAATTCAGCTCAAGCCCCGCTCGTCGACCTCGCATACCAGCCTTCAAGTCGAAGCCCTGATCTACCCCAAGAACAAGGACAGAAAACTAAGGGAAGTTGGAAGATGTTGGACGTAGTGATGACGGATCTTTCTTATACCCTGTATTCCTATGTCAAAGGCCTCCGAATCCCACACACTGAACATGCGACAACATCACGCAATGCTAAAGGCTTACGGCTCACCCCTGCTGCAATCTGGGATTCGGTTGACTGTGCACCACTCTCAGAGAGTTCACCAAAGAACGGCCATATCATTCGTAGAACCCATAACCACCGGAACAAAACTCGCACCGCTGAACACCAGACCCACTTTAGGGAAGCGAGATGCATCTGAGTCGAGATTGTCGGCATCAAGTATCGCCGACTCCCCCAAACCTTCCAGTGGCTTCGGGCGCTAAACGCAAGCTCAGGTTCATGTACTATAAAAAAGTGAAAGCGGAGGGCTGAGCGCCTGTAGGTGACAAAATTCCTAAAACTTCACGGTTCGTTGTGCTGAGCTTCACGGGCTGCCAGCCCGTGCAATGCTCGCGGATGCTCAAAATTGCAAATACGCGCGACTTTGGAGGGACAGTGAACAAAGCTGCTCCTTGCACTGAGTCTTACAGTCTTGAAGATCACGAGACATGTTGTGCAAGAACGGACTGGTGGAAGATCTTTTTCGAAAGCCGATATCGGTGTTGTAGCTGCGTTTGGGCTTTAGCGGTTCAGGCTCATTTATGAAACAGGGCTTGGAGATTGAGCGTTTCTGGGTTTGGGGTCTAGTCGACCACACTTAGCTGCGAGTCTGCGCATGAGGCACTAAACCACAACAAGAAGCACCGCGCACCTGCAAATGCTGAGGTCAGTGAAATCCTTTAGAAGAAAACCCGAAGCTTAACGACAGCGTGCTTCGCCAATTCCTGAAGCGCCTGTGCCTGAGCCCTCACCCGAGTCTAAACCCCAGGCCTGGAAAACCCCTAAGCACCTTCTGAACCGCAAACGCACTTGTTTTTGTTGGCAACTCCCAAATGTCAGCATCATCCTTAAACGCACAAAAAACCCTAACAACCCCAACAGCCTCTGTAAACCAAACAACGTCTGAACGCCTCTACGAACCAGCGATTCCTCTGGCTCATGATTCATTTGGCAGTTTAGGGTTTGGGGCTGGCGGAAGGATGGGGCCCTTTGTCGTCGACAGCCCCCCAGAAGACTCAATGCCCGAAGCCTTACACCCAAGAAGCCATACCCGAAATCATGAAAACCTGAGCCAAAAATCCTACACCCTAGGCCCTAAACCTTACGATCCCAATAGCTGTAAACTCTACCTACACCGCAAAACCCCACACCCCCTTAACTTGAAACGGAAGGCCCGCATCCCAACACCTGCAGAGCACCGAAGCCCCGAGCCGTGAACCCTCGAACCTATGGAACCCTAAAAACTAGGCCTAACCCTCAACGGAAAAGTGATTCAAAATTCACGGAACCTCATTACCTAAAACCCAGAAACACCAAGCCCAAAATTTTAAGTCCTGCGACCCTGCAGGTCCCTTCTGAACCCTACAAATAATCGGTAAGCCCTGAAACCCCCCCCCCCCCCCCCCCCCCCCCCAAAACCTGATCTAAAACCGACCAGGCCATATAAAAACTCAGACAGGAGCTAGAAGCGCTGAACCCCAAATCCCCACGACCACAGAAAGAGGCCATCGCAAATCCTGATTCGCCGTACCCCATAACCGAGACTCGAAATGATCGAAACCCTGAAACCCTAAGCCCCGATATCCGTGAGCCAGACCATATTAACATCCAGGCAGGAACTAGAAGCGCTGAACCCAAAACTCCCAAACGCACGCCAAGAAACCCTCTAGCCATTCGGCTCGCTTTCGGAGGGCTTCGTGCACATCGGCAGCGAAGAACCCAGGCCTTTGGAAATCGCTTGCAAACGAGTGAGAACCAATCTTACTATAAGCTTAATGAAAGCATTGTGGGCTTTTCTAGGAGTTTACTATACGGGTTCTGGAATGTGTAATATGTGCGGTTCCTTAAACTTAGAGCTGGGTGATTTGTTTGGAGGAGTTGGGGTGGCTAAGAGATCATAAGATGTAAGTTCTATGTAATTTTGGTGACCTTACTTTCTGAAGCTTGAAAGAACCTGTTTGTGTGAACTTGGCCTTCTTTGCCTAATCTGTAAGGGGCTTTACATGACAATAAGAATATGACGGCTTCTTAACACTGCAGCAGGATCCTTTTCCAGCTTCAGAACGGGGGTCATGGTGTAGGCGTGTTGGCTCTCACTGTCTGACACACAAGCTTGCATCACTCCGTTGAACTGAACCAGAAGTATGGCGAGTGGGGTGTGTCCGGGCTCGGGGGGTTGAGCGCTTGCAGAGCTTCGGTCAGGGCACAGGGCTTATAGAATTGTGGCATTCTAATCTTACGTTCTCGAACAACTTGGAACTCTAGCTAGGGAGTTAAGCGGGTTGGCAGTACAGTCGTCATGAGGTCGTACGCAGTCGTCCGCAAACCGAACAGTGAATGGCTGTGCTTGCGGTTGGACGTTGTATCAGGTCCCAGTAGGCGCTTGAGGCTTGCAACCCCACAACTCTAAACTGCCTGATAGCGTTATCTATATCTAAATCTAGAATCCTAAAACCGAGGCCGCCTAAGGCCGAAACCCTAGGCCCCAAAACCGGTTTTGGCCAAACCGTGAGCCACGCTTGACGGAAAACCCTAAACCTCAAACCACAAAACCTCACAACTCTAAGCTAGGGCTTTCTCGTCATATGTCCCCTGAAGTCCGGGGACGTTGTATAGCACCGCATGACGGCACCTTTCCCGGGAGCCAACAGAATCTCAACGTCAACCCTTGGGATGTCACAGGACTTTTAAATATTGTTTACCGACGTGAATGATGTTGCATAGGGCCTGCAGGATTTAGGTTTTGAGGGCTAGGGCAGGTTTCGGGTCTGCTTGCTTCATATTCAGTCGTGCACGCGAGAATCCCAGACCGAGACTGGAGAAGCAGGGGAGGAGCTAGGGCGGGGTGGCCAGTGCAGCCGCAAAAGGCTGTGTAAGGATTCGTCCAGGCCCATCTTTGGCTCCAGTATATTTCGCCGCATGTGTCAGCTTTGGCTTGAGATGCCAGCGAGCCCTGTCGTCTTGTCGTCTGCAGTCTCGACACCCACAGCATCCCACATCCGGTGCACCGGATTTTGCCAGCACACTTCCCTGGAAGAACCAGCCCTTGCTGCATCTGCAGCAGTCGACGACCAAAAGCCAAACATAGTCGTCCATGGTCAAACTGGCGAGGGCCTGCAGATAGCCCGCTGATGTTCTTCGGCACTAACCGATTCCAAGGCCAAATGTGACAGCTGTTGTCGTGAACCTCATGCAGCTGTCTCTCTTCGAGTCTGAGATTGCTTTCGAAGTTCTGAGACGCCCTGGCAAACAGGAAAAGGTCCAGTTCATACAGTTGATCATTCTGGTTCTCCGAGAGGTCAAAGGAGCGCCGTGGTTTAGGAGTTTAGGCTTTGCATGGTGCACTTGGGAGTGAATCAATTAGTGATATTTTGCTAGACTCTAAACTCCAAACATCTCCGAACCCTAAAACCCTAATCTGCCAAAATCCCTCAGACCTTGAAACCCCAAACGGTAAACCCCTGATCCCAAAATACACCAGCCCCCGTTTTGTGGAGAATCCGTGGCGCAGACTTTTCGGAGCTTGCGGCTGCGGACGCCATGGCTCAAAGCATTAGGGTCTAGGGATTTAAATATAGGGGTTTAGGTTTGGGGCTCAGGGGTTTAATTGTTTCTTTCCGGGGGGGTCAGGTTTTAAATTGGCTTGGGACTCAACCCGAGCACTCAAACCCGAAACCCAATCCGCCGCCTGGGCCTTGGAGGGCTTGGTTTGGGGCCTTGAACGAAAAGAACACCGAACACCAACCACAAATACGGCGCTTGATGAGAGCATGCTTCTTGAATTCCGTTGTTCGGTTTAGGCTTGCAGGTTCAGAGTTTAAGGTTTAGGGTTTAGGAATCATGGTCTACCTTTTGAGGGTCCAGGGTCTTGGGTTTGGGATAGTTAGTGTCGGGTGTAGCACTCAGGCTGGGTTTAGGGTCGCGGGTCCTGTCTAGTAAAGACGTGTTGACGTGCGAGGTGGAGTCGAACTGTAGCCACGGCGGTTGTACAGCCCAAACTTCAACAGTGGCCGCAGCTAATCCCAAACATACCAAATGCAACCTAGCCCTGATTTGTGAAGCTTAAACAGCTCTGAGGTACAGAGTTTAGTTCAAGGCTGATTATTGAGTAAAGGGCAACTAAAACGGAGTCTCCGCGGCCATCTTTCCAGACATGGAGCCTACTTCTAAACCCGAAAAACTCAAAAGAACTTAAGATTCCCTCAAGCGTTTGCACTCTTGGCACGGCCTCAAAACAACGAATGGAACCTGAACGATTTCCAACATGATGCCTTAAAGGTTCCCAGTTTATCTGAAAATAAAGCCCCACGCAAACACAGCAGTTAGGCATCTAGTTCTCTTTCGCACTACCCCAAAATGCTCTCCAAACCTCTGCGGTGTCCCGGATCTCTATGTTTCCCGAATCTGCAAGAAAATCTGGTGTTTACTTTCAGAACCATACGAACTTCTAAGCAGAAATCGGCTATGCAACTTGAAACCCTACCACGAAGCTCTAATACAGCTGGGGGCAGCGGAACCTTCTGGAGCAAATATGCGATGCACAGCACCTGGGAAGATGAGAAGCAGGAAGCTTGCAAGGGCTTACGGGTGAAAGGACTGATAAGAGTTCTTTAGAGCATAGGGTTTTACGGCTTTAGGGTTAGGGTTAACTAGGGTTGCTTAGGATTTGAAGTTATTTAACTTCGAGCGTTTGCGTCTCAGCTTGCGGCATGTATAGTATGCGAGGACATCGGCAGAAGGGCCGTTTGGCAAGCCGTACGAGCCATCAGTAGACCACGCAGGCAACATCAGGCAACCACAACGTGGCGGGCTGTTTGTGTCGTGCACTAGCCCACAACCTGTAGACTGATGAAAGTATCGCAACTTGGCGATAATCGCCGGGGGCCGGATCGGCCAGCGAGAGGTGCTGGGTATGAACACTACCGCCCCGTCTGCGGCAGATGCGGTCCAGCGCCCGACCTTTTCGATAACGTGGAAGAGGGATGGTCCGGGACGGAAGCCGTCCAGGCCAGCAGCAGAAGGCTTGGTGGTTTTCAAGACCGCGAGGAGGTCTTGTACATGCACCCTTCGTGAGCCAACCAACTGCCACCGGAGGAGCATCCCGTATTCCCGCGTGAAAGCCGCAAAGGAGGGCTCACCAGCTGGTGTTGGGAGTAGAGTTTCTTCCAGACAGACAGGATGGCTTCAAGGCCGGCCTGGGCGCTGCCGTGGCACTGGCAGCAGTGACTGTTCGGGGCTTAAGAGGCTCGGGCTTCTGCGGGCTTGGTGACATCGGGTTAAGACCTCCGGGGTTTGGGGGTGTTTAAGCTTTTGGGGCCTGGGTGTTCTACAGCTTTGGGGACTCAGGGTACTTAGGGTTTATGGGGTCCGGCCTTTAGTTTTGGCGGTCTTTTCGAGAGTTCAGGGTTGCGTCTTCGGGGTTAGGCTAGGTGTGGTGTATGTCTTGCGATGATGCTGACAGCTATGTAGAAGTAGCACTGGCGCGGTGCACAACATACGTCACTGCCGAAGCTTCGGTAGACCGCCCAAAACCCCAAACCAGGCCCTCAACCCAGAACCTGCAACCCCTCCCCTCCCCCTCAACAAAAAAGCACACACACAAAAGTGAGAGAGAGAGCTTGGGTCAAGGGCTTCGATTTTCGGAGGGGAGGGTTCGGAAAAGGGTTGTGGTTTATAGTTTGGGCTGAGGACCTCGGGCTTTTGATGTAAGTTCCCGGGCATAGGATTACGCGTTCAGCACCCAGATCTTCGGGTTGAGGGTTCAGGATTTCGGACTTTGAGGTTTAGTACTTGCGTGCAGGGCTTAGACACACGAATGGGGCCTGAAGAGCACAGTGCAACGATAGCGTTTGAGATAGAGTACGGCGTTTTACCGGGATCAAGTAAGTGTGCAAGAAATCAACCTGTCCTCACCGTGTCCTCCCACGCGAGCGATGTTATGAAGCGCATCAACATCTAGCGCGCAACTCTGTCACTCATACAGGACCCAGGGCCTCCGCTTTGCACCCTATATACCCTAAGCGCAAACAGGAGCGGGCGCGAAACCCAGAACCCTACCCGGACCTCCTGAAAGCTTAGGCTCCGAACGGTAAGCTTACGTAGGGTTAGGGGATAATCGTGAGCGCAGCCATGGGCGCAATGATCCAGTAGACACCGAAGAACCAGTGCAAGCCGTTGGGTTGCGGACTGGCCGAAAGCAGTTGAATTAGGCTCAGAGGGCTTTCAACTTCCGGTTTAGGGCATTGGGTGTAGGGTTTTGGGTTCAGGGCTTTGAGCTTAAGGTTTAGGGCTCGTTCCTGCGGACATCTACACTGACTGCAACTATATCATGGGCATCGGGGATAGCGGATAGCTGCTTGCCTGCATTTGGATGGCCTGCCAGCGTGTCCGAAACCCCAAACTTGAAACCCCCAACCCCGAAACCCCTAAGCCCGAATCTTAGGCCCAAAATCCTTAAACAAGCCTACGCCCCTATGCCCTAAGCCCGAAATCTTCTGTCCTATTCCCGCACACCCCCAGACCCTAAACCCTTACCACCTAAGCGATCGGGCTTCTGTCAATGGGCAGTGGCAGCTTAGAGTTAGAGCCTTCAGAGCTCCCGGCATCCTCCAGGGGAACCCCTTTTAACTCTCTTTGATGCGGGGTCTCTCTCTCTCTCTCTCTCTCTCTCTCTCTCTCTCTCTCTCTCTACCTTCACCTAGTTGTCGATTTCAAAAAAACGCCCCCAAAAGTATTTATGATTAGGGCTCCCTATGAAACACTACGCGAAATTAAGAACTATCCCAAATCGATACCTAGTGATGCTGAGGGTTGTAGGGCATTGTAGGGGCTTTCTATAGCATATAGTATCCGCTGGTTTGGGCTTCCCTAGACAAACCCTAAACCAGTAGCCTTGCATGTTTAACAGCTGGCCTTTCGGTAACACGACACGGATTCCGACCATGACAGGGTTTCAAAGGTCTTTACAAGGGCCGTTGAAGGTTTCAAAGGGACCCCCATGAGTAGGCGTGGCATCTCTATAAACCGACACAGAATCGTGGGTATTGAAGAGTCGAAACCAAATGGGAGAGGGTAAACCAAGGGATGGCCCCAACTTGAACCAAATCCTTGCACAAACAGTGCACAGCATGAAGAAGGATTCCCAAGCACTGAAAAGCAAGTGCAGGAATCCTGCGAGGCTCGGCTCTGTGGACAAGTCGTGCATTTGTCGTAGGTTGAATGGTAACCCAGCTTGGTGCCGCCTTTTGGAGCACTCCACGCCGTGACGGCCCGCTGCCTTGGGAACAGTGAAGCACGTTTCACAATGTGCACATGGAATCGTCCTGTTGGGGACTTTCCGCAACGTCGCCCGCACCCTCCATAGCCAGCCGTCGAACGGCATGGACGTACAGGACCGCATGTGATTCTTGCACTTCGCCGTGTTTGGAAACTTGCGGTAGCAACACCGGCATTCATCCTGAGGCCAACGGCGTTCACTCTTGGGGCAGGGTAAATCTGTGAGAGACATGGTCTGCTGCTCCTCTCTCCGTTGAAGACCAGAACCTCGAAGCCAAGATCTCGAGATTCGAGGCCTCAACCTGGGTTATGCTAGGGCTCTACGGGGTTTTGCCAAGCATCGATAGGATGCGTTAGCGCTTTGTAACGGTTTCAGAAGGGTCCTATTCTAGTCTTGGTTGGGTTTAAGGAGCTTTTTCCAAGGCTTCAGCGAAAACTACTCAAGCTATCATTAAGGCGAGCACACCGTTTTGCATAGATCCTCTTCAACCAGCAGCCCGAACTGCCATGACTGTTGATCTAGGAAGTGTCATGGGTATTTGTTGTACATAACAAGTACCGTTATACCATATTATACCTGATACCGTTGTTACTGTCGCACTGTTGATATTGCCACTCTTCGTATACATTCCCGAAGAAGTTTATGAGTAATTCCCGAAAGGCCCTGTGCCTTGCGAGGTTGTGCCCGAAGATTGCGCTTGCGACAGCCTGGAGCAGCAGCGGTGGTGAAAGTCGCAGTGGTCGTGATCGTAGGAGGTAGTAATAGTAGTAGTAGTAGTAGTAGTAGTAGTAGTAGTAGTAGTAGTAGTAGTAGTAGTAGTAGTAGTAGTAGTAGTAGTAGTAGTAGTAATAGTAGTAGCAGCAGCAGCAGCAGTAGTAGCAGTAGTAGTAGTAATCCATTCCCCTCAATATTAAACGCCCACCCCCCTCCCTAATATAAAATTTGATTTCCGGGATTCTAATTTAGTATGAGGGGGGTTTCGGGGCATCCACGTATGAGTCGGATTGAGAGTAATAATAAGCCAGACACAAAGAACGCCAATCACGCAGCCGCTCCGGCTGTAGAGCAGACAGTCCCGCCCTAAACCCTAAAGCCCTAAACCCTAAAGCCCCAAAGCCCTAAAGCTCTAAACTCTATAAAGCCCTGAGCCCTAGACCCTTAAACCCCAAAGCTCTGGTCTCTTCGGTCTTAGTACTGGTGTAGTCTTTGGCTCTATTAAACTCAGACAATCCAAGCTCCCCCCTAATGTTTTTAATTAACTTTCAA